TGCTCTAGGCAAAAACAGAATAAATAAAATAAAATAAACCCATTCCCTTTTAAGAATTCATGAAAGTCACACTAATGTAAACATTACAAGTAAATTTTCAGGTCATCATTACCCTTTGACGTTGAAACATTTCAGTTCATGTCCTTATTAAAGGTGACTTTTTATGGAAGCTTTGATGAAATTAGCTTGCCCATTTTTGAGTCAGGAAGCACAGACTAAGATACAGTTTTTATAGCTCAACTTTTTCTAACTATGCAGTGAAAATGAATTCAGGGAAAGTTTTTACAATTTTCTCTAAAATATACACTTGGGGGGATTTACAAGCTTCGGAATCCTTGGTAGAAAAGGTGTGATGGAGGAGTCAAGCTCATTATGTCATCCTCCACACGTGCCCATCAGTCACCACCTCCTGTGACACAGATGTGCTTTGCAGAGACAGACCAGCCCATAGCACAAGCATGGAGTTGGCCATCAAGGCTCAGGCAGACCCAAGGGGCGTTCGCCTGCATTCGGGGGAGGGTGTGGGATTGGCAATAAAAGGGGAAAGTCACTTGCTTCTGGTTAAGAAGTAGGACTTAGGTGGACAGCCATCTGGGGATGGCCCATCCCCCAGTCCCCTGGCCAGGAGGTCCAGGCCATGGGGTGTGCCAGTGCAGGAGGGTGAGCTGACCTCCCACTTGGGGAGGCCCCAGACCTGGCCTGAGCTTCCAAATGAGTCACTGTGCAGGGGGTGCATTAGCCCAGTCCTCCAGCTGTGCAAGAGGTGCCTCCCAAGGCTGGTCAGGGCACCACTCCCTCAACCTGTCCTGGCATCTTACGTTACACTTTCCTCACATTTGCATGACTTGTCAATTCCTAATGACATCCTAGAAGAGAACACTGGTCCTGACAACCTGATAATGCTCCAAGTGACATAGTAAGCTGACCTCAACACCACCGGAGCTGAGTGACCACCGACAGCCCTGGGCATGGCATGGGGTCTCAGGCACGGGGATGGGGTCTCGGGCATGGGATGGGGTCTCAGGCACATGGATGGGGTCTCGGGCATGAGGATGGGGTCTCGGGCACGGGGATGGGGTCTCGGGCACGAGGATGGGGTCTCAGGCACATGGATGGGGTCTCAGTCATGGGATGGGGTCTTGGGCATGGGGATGGGGTCTCGGGCACGGGGATGGGGTCTCGGGCACGAGGATGGGGTCTCAGGCACATGGATGGGGTCTCAGTCATGGGATGGGGTCTTGGGCATGGGGATGGGGTCTCGGGCACGGGGATGGGGCACAGGGATGGGGTCTCGGGCAGGGGATGGAGTCTCGGGCATGAGGATGGGGTCTCAGGCATGGGGATGGGGTCTCAGGCATTGGATGGGGTCTCAGGCACAGTGGTGTCTTGGGCACGGGGAAGGGGTCTCGGGCATGGGGATGGGGTCTCGGGCACGGGGATGGGGTCTTAGGCATGGGGATGGGGTCTTGGACACGGGGATGGGGTCTTGGGCACGGGGACGGGTCTCGGGCACAGGGATGGGGTCTCGGGCATGAGGATGAGGTCTCGGGCATGGGGATGGGATCTCGGGCATGGGGATGGGGTCTTGGCACAGGGATGGGGTCTCAGGCACAGAGATGGGGTGTCAGGCACAGGGATAGGGTCTCGAGCACGGGGATGGGGTCTCAGGCACGGGGATGGGGCATGGGGGTGGGTCTCAGGCATGCGGATGGGGCATGGGGATGGGGTCTTGGGCACAGGGATGGGGGTCTCAGGCACGGGGATGGGGTCTCGAGCATGGTGATGGGGTCTCAGGCACGGGGATGGGGGTCTCAGGCATGGGGATGGGGTCTCAGGCATGGGGTGGGGGTCTCAGGCATGGGGATGGGGTCTCAGGCACAGGGATGGGGTCTTGGGCATAGGGGTGGGGCATGGGGATGGGGTCTCGGGCATGGGGATGGGCCCTGGGCATAGGAGGGGTTCCAGGCATGTTTGTGCAGACAGAGTCCCATGCATGGGGAGTTTTGGCATCAGAGCCAGGGTGTGAGGGTGTCTGAAGGCAGTCTGAGAGCCAGCAGCCCCTGCTTGAGCAGTCTAATGGCAGTTGCTCTGTTCTGGAACTCCCTGGGCTAGCCCTCAATCTTGCCCTCACCCTCACATTAAACCCGGATCCTAACTTTCACTGTAACCCCATCCTCCCCATATATCTTACTGAACACCTCACTCTAACCCTAGCCCTGGCCCCTGGACCTGACCCCTCACCATCACCATTGACGTCACCCACATCTCACCGTAACCCTGAACCTCAATCTTGCCCTCGTCCTCACATCAGAGCTGGATCCTGACTCTCACCGTAACCCCATCCTCCCTGTACATCCTACTGAAAGCCCTCAGGCCAACAGTCCGGGCCCCATGACTTCTGTTCTGTCTGTTTTGAAGGTCATGTGGCTTTTCCCTGATGAGACAGAATTCCTTCTGCCTCTTCAAAGTTCTCCAAAGCAGGCTCCGTGTGCCCCAACTTGGGGCTGCCTGGTGACTCCGGCTCCCCCATCTATTCGGCATGCCAGTGTGGAGCCGCACATGGATGCCTGGCCATCTTCAATTGTGCGTGTAATGCACAGTCATGACACTTACACAAAAGCAACCAAATGATGATTTCAACCACAATTTGACTGATTTGAACTACCTGTCTGGCCGCATCATGGCCTGGGTGGCCAGGACAAGGAGCCTGGACCTTTACACCGACAGCAGTGGTGGTGATCTCACACCCAAGACAGACCCTCCTCCCAGAAGGGACACCAGAAGGGGCTGGGAGAGGCCTGTGCAGCACCCCCACCCAAGTCAGAAAACTGGTGAAGCCTCTGGGCTCCTCAAAGCCCCTGAGGACCCAGCGGCCAGTGCTGAGCCCACAGCTGACCTGGACTGGTACATGCCCTCCAGCCACTCAGAGACCCCACTGCCGGGTGTCTGCTGATTTTAAACTTAAAAAGTATAACTCAAAATGCTGTAGGGGAAGTCAGTCAGGGCCTGCATCACCCGACAACATAGGGTTGCAGTTTGCAAACTGTAAAAATCTGAGGCTGTCAGAGATCTGAGGTCTCCAGGCAACCAATAGCCTGAAATCTAAGGAAATGCAGGTCTGGGCAGAGACAGGGCACGAGCCAGGCACTGTGGACACTGTGAAGGAGAGTCAGACAGAATTCAGACACAGCTCTGAATGGTCCAGCAAGCAGACAGAGGTCCCTACGGAGGTTCAGATACGGATGTGCACCCAAGGGCAACTGCTTCTCTGGAGACCTCACTGGCTATGTCCAGGGCAGAGGGGGCTGGTGAGAGTCCCAGTGCAGGCCTGGGGAGGGTGGCAAGCCCTGGCACCCAAGGGCCTCATGAAACCCAGTGCAGCTGGGGAGGCCCTCTGTCCCTAGGAAGGGCCCCAGAGCACTACGTGTGGGAGGAACACCAAGGAGGCCCCACCCAACATGCAGGAACGCATGGGATCTGAGCCACAGATGGCACAGTGCAGCCTGCAGAATGGCCTGCCCCCCTTGCCTCCTCCAGGAAGCCCATGGCCCACACGACCCTCTTGGTGACCTCCACTGAATCTCCCACCACAGCTCCCACCATTTTCTGCCACCCTCCAAAGGGTGGCATCAGAGCTACTGTTTAACCCAAAAGAAGAGCACGTAGTTTGCTGGGAAGCACCAAGCTCCATAAACTCAGATGCCACAGGCCTGTGGGGGGCAGACACCAGCAGGTGGCAAGGGGAGGTGCGGGGAGCAGGGATGGCCCAGAGGAGCCCCCAGCTGACCCTGCATCCCCGAACCCCAGGCCCCAGGACTGACCCCAGCTCAGCCACCCCATGCCACCTGTGTGCTCCACCTCCCCTTGGGGTCAGCCAGCCTTTCCACTATGGGGCAGAGCACGATGCAGGACCAGCCCTCACTACCAACAGGGGGTTTGCATCCTAGAGCAGGTGTGGACCTCCAGGATTCTGGGGCATCAAACAGGTAGGGAGGAAACTGAGATCCACATGCAGAACTGTCACCACACAGTGGGGTCTCAACAGCCAGTGGTGACCAGAGGGTTTGGGGTTCCTGCTCCATGGGGCCCTTCAGAGGGGTGCCGGGGCCCTGCTGGAGTACACAGCAGGCAGAGCACCCTGCAGCTCTGGCCAAGTCCTCAAGAATGCTGCCCCCCACCCACTGCTGGGGTGCTAGGGACAACCAGCAACATGCAGTGGCCGAGTCATACTTGACCCACCTGGACAGGATTCCCAGGCCTAGCTATAGCCACACCAGGCAAACTGTTCCCACAGGTGTGAGAGTAGGGACAGATATGGGCACACAGTCCCAGAGCCTTGCTACCATCCATCCTCACAGCAGTCAGGTGTTCTGTTCAGGTTTGTTGAGGATGTGTGAAGTTGGCTGCCTTGTCCACAGACCATGAGTTCTGCAGTTTGCCACAGTCCCCACCATTCCCTATTGCCCATACCCAACTACTTAAGACATTATCTTACCTGCCCCCAAAGACAGATAGTAAGCTCATAATTTTGGAAGAAGTTCAGACTTAACCCAAGCCACATGGAGACTAAGGTCTGTCCTGGGGCTCTGGGTGTGGAAGCAGGGCTATTGGGAGGGTCTGACACATCAGCACACACGTGCAGGGGGCTAGCACCTGGCAGATCTCACAGTGCCCCCAGGACAGGCAGAGCAATAGGTTGGCCACCCAGCAGTTCCATTGGCCAACAGCAGGACAGGAACTCTGGAGCTCAGCCTGTCTGCTGCCCCATGAGGTGGGTCTACCTGGTTCCTTGGACTGCTGGGCCCTGAAAGGAAGCCCCAGGCCCTGGAGCCAGTGAAGCCAAGCAGAGGGAGGGCCAGCCCCTGCCCCATCCACTGAGCAGCTGTGATTCATCAGCATTCAGCAAATCCCCTCTAAACAGTTACCCAGGACAAGAGGCACAAATGGGCCCACCTTGTGAGACCAAGTGAGACCTGGATGGGCACAGATGTGAGTCCTACCTTGGAAGAAGCTCTTCACCCTGAAGTAGCTGACGCTGAGACGCAAGACTGAAAGCTTGTCCAGCTTGGAGATGACATCAGGTGGGAACGGCAGTAGGCTGGCCAGATGGTCCAGCTCAGCATTGAGACGGTCCCGGTGCCGCTTGGAAGGGTTTGTCCTCTCGGCCCCAGCGGGGGGCCTCCTGTGGGGATGGAGCAGTCAGACTCAGGGCCCACCAGGGCCCCAGCCCCACAGTGGAGACTGTCCCTGCCAGCGATGCTGGGAGGAGCAGTCGGCTTCAAAAGGAGCTGCCCCAGGGTGCTGTGCAGGCAGTCAGCCATTCGCCAGGGAAGGTTTAACCAGGCAGATGGGGACGCCCTGCCTACTGAGTCCAGCAGGTGCTGGACCCCTGTGCTCACTTCCCCACGTGGTGAAGGGCCCCTGACCACCTATTTGCCCAGCCCTCAGGCCCTCCTTGGTGTCTGGACACACGACCTTCTCGGGACCCACAACTCCCAGCCCTGCATCAGCTGGAGAGGCACTCTGGGCTTCACTTCCCTGTCCACACAGCGGGGCTGAAAGGGGCTGAGGCCAAGATGGTGGAAGACCAAGGGCACCCACCCCCAAGGCCTGGAGGGCAAGGCTGAGCCCTGTGTCCCCCACCTCAGACCTGCTCTCCCTCAGGGAGGCCCTGCCTAGGGTGTCCCTGACCAACACTCCCTGGGGACAGCTGACCCTGGGGCCCAACCTGCCCCCTAGTCACCTCCCCATCTGAATTCTCACCCCCACTCACCACCCCATCTGCCCTCCTAGCCCCAGTCACCTCCCCATCTGCCCTCCCACCCCCAGTCACCTCCCCATCTGCCCTCCCAGCCCCAGTCACCTCCTCATCTGCCCTCCCAGCCCCAGTCACCTTCCCATCTACCCTCCCAGCCCATCACTTCCCCACCTGAACTCTCACCCCCTGTCACCTCCCCATCTGCTCTCCCAGCCCGTCACCTCCCATCTGACCTGCTGCCCTCCTCACAGGAAGGTCCGCCTACGGCCTTCCTAGATGCCATCATGGGAAGCACTGAGCCTGAACCAACAGCCAGAGTCAGGAGAGAGGCAAGGGGCTGGGCAGGGGCCTCTGACAGGTGCTGACATGGGGCCCTGGAACCCGGGACCACCCTGGGTCATGGTGCCTGGTGGGCTGCAGAGTCCTGCTGCTCTGAGAGGTTTGGGCCTCTTTCCTCCAGAAGTCCCCATTTTCGATTGCGCCTGCCGGTCAGTTCCCGTAAGCTGCCTTAAAGAACCCTTTTGTTGAAGCCTCGGGGCCCGCCCTCCTTCGTGCTGTGGGGGACGCAGGACACAGAAGCCTCGAGGGAGCTGCAGCTCCACCCCAGCACCACCTCAGTTTTCTTTTTAACTGAGAAATAATTCATAACATAAGCTAATTACGGTGCAGTGTTCCATGGCATCTAGCACATTCACACATTGCACAGCTATCTCCTCTGCCATGTCCCGAGACATCCCATCCCCCAGATAAAACCGTGCTGCCAGTAAGGCCCAGTTCCCTGCCCCTGAGCCCTCACTTTTGTCCCACGGATTTGCCTCCTCTCCTGTCAGTGGGACCATGCAGTGTGAGGCACCCCATGCCAGGCGTCCTTCGCTCGACATCATGCTTTCCAGATTTGTGTCTGGCGCTGCATGGGTCAGATGCCATTCTTTTTCAAGGCTAAGTAATACTTCACTGCATGGCTTTACTGCATGTGCCCCCACCACCAGCAGTGGCCGTCTGGGTTGCTTCCACTTTATGGGTATTGCAAGGAGCAGTGTGGTCAACATTCATGCCCCGGTTTTTGCTTGAACATATGTTTGTAGTTCTCCTGGGTATGTGCCTCGTGGGACAGCTGGGCTAAGACGCAGGCCTATGCCTGACTCTGGGAGACTGCACTCCCAGCAGAGTGCAGGCAGGTCCGAGCCTCACACCCACACCTATGCTTCTCTTCCTCTTTCTCACGGAGTGGTCATTCTCACAGGTGTGAAGCAGTGTCTCATTGTGGTTTGATTTGTATTTCCTCAATGACCAATAATGTTGAGCATCTTTTACAAGCTTGTTGGCATCTGTATATACCCTTGGGAGAGATGTCTGTCTAAGTCCTTTGCCCAGTGTTTAAATTGGGCCGTTTGGCTTTTTACTGTTGAGTTGACTCTTCATCCACCCATTCCCAGGGAGCCGGGGGAGGGACTCACCAGCTGAAGAAATGGGTGTCGGAATTGCTTAGGAAACACAGCTCATTCATTCAGCCCTCCTGAGGACACTGGTTGTCCCAAGATGCACCTCCAACACCTCCCTCCCTGCTCCCCACATTGAAGGGGAGCAGGAACCGCCCACCACCTGCCCAGGGTGGGGTGGGGCCGTGTGGAGGGAAGCACTCCTGTCTGGGCTCAGGCTTGGAGCCCAGGGGCACATGCGGGAGTTTTGCTCATCAGGGACAGGGACCCGCACCTTTACTGCAGGGAGAGTGCTGTTCAGCAGTTACAAAGGTGTAAAATACCTGGAATAAATCTAACGGTATCTGGACTGAAACTGTAAAATACTGCTGGGACACATAAAGTAAAAAATTGATAAACTGATCTTCATCAAAAAGATGAAAGTGTCTTTTGAAAGACCCCATTAGGACAAAGAAAAGGGAAGCCAGATTGGAAAAACATATATTCACAACAAGATTTTGTGTCCAGAAAATATAAAGAAGTATGCAATTTAACAAGTGGACAAACAGCCCCAAATGAGATGGGCAAATTATTTAAACTGGCACTTCACCAGAGAAGATATGAGATGGTAAATAAGCACATGAAAAGGTACTCAGCACCTTCAGTCATTAGAGAAACACACATTAGGCCAGGAGGACACAGCACCATGGAATAAGCAGTTCCGAGGTCCCGCTACCAGGACATAAATGATGCATACTTTGGAAGACAGGTTGGTGGCTTCTTAAAAAGTTAGATGCACATGTACCATATGCCTCGGCAACCCCATTCCTGGGCTGTACCCAAGGGAAATGAAGGCACGCCCATACAAGGACTTGTACGTAAATGTTCATAGCCCCAAAGTGGGGGTGGCCCAACAGCCACCTGCGGGTGAGGGCACAGGGTGAAGTACCCCTAGCCAGGAACAGGCACACATGTGGATGGATCTCAAAACCTCATGCCAAGTGAAAGAAGGCCACAGGCTATCGAGAGAAGATTCCAGGACACACAAGCCAGTGTGCAGGGCAGAACTCAAGAAGCTGCCAGGGATGACACAGAGAGGATTGACAGGGAAGGAGATGGGAGTGTCTGTGACCTTGATTTCAGGGACAGCTTCACAGTGTTTATGCTGTCAGACACAGCCAGACTGAGCATGTTGTATGTGTGCAGTTCGGTGAGCTCCAATCACAGCCCAATGAGGACGAGGAGGCAGGCAGCAGGAGGAAGCTGTGCCATGCCGGGTGAGCATCAGACACAGTGCTGCCCTCAGAACCCACATGACCTGATCCCAAGGCTGGGAGAAAGAGGGAAGGCTGTGGGGGCTCTGCCGGGGAAAGGCTCCAGCCAATGTCTGTGCCAGCCCAGCGGACTCTCTGGGGTGGGCTCTGGCCTAGGACCCAGTGGCACCTGTGTCCAGGTGGGTCCCACTCCTCTGCTATCCCCCAGTCCCAGGACATACGATGTGCATGTGCAGTCCACTGCTCACCCCCAACCCACAAAGGCCAGGCCTGAAGCTGGGACATGAGGCACTGGGGAATAGGGGGTGCTGTGCACCTGGCCAGAGGGTGCCCACTGGCACCGCAGGAGGGGTGGTAGGCATGGGGGCCCCACACTCAACATCAAAGACAAACATGTGGCCTGTGGTGGTGGCTCAGCCCAGACTTGGCTTCTGGCCACTGAGGCAACGTTCGGACGGACGCCCCCTCCTGCCTAGGCTAGCACGGCAGCCAGGCGGGCCAGTGGAAGGAAGGCAGCAGGTTCTGGCTTGGCGCTGCAACTCCTGCAAATCCCCCCACTAGGACATCTCCACCGAATCCTCCCCCTCCACCACTTTTCCTGAAACTCACTTTCTTCATGAACACACATGTACCACCCTCCATCAGTAGGAATCCATCACAATGGAAGATGGGACACTTACTGCTTCTGGACAGGCTTCCTCCTCTTCCTCCCAGCATACATGCACTCGCCCGGCGGGATCATTGTCTCTGGCCTAAGAAAGAAAGGGGGTGTCAAGTGGGACACACGCAACCCCAAGGCTCACGGGCATGTCCGGCAAGGAGCTCTGGGCATTGCCAGCTTGAGCCTGCAGTGTGGACCACTTGTGTATCTTGCTGGGCAGGAAGGTGTGAAGGGTACACGCACCCCCACCATGTTTAGCCCCTTGACAGGCAGCGTCATGGATGCTAGCTGCACCCTGTCATCTCCTGCTCCAGAGAAACAGCCCTGGGCTCAGAATGCTTATGGCAGGCAGACATCCTGCATGTGTCACCAGGAAACAGAAGCCGTTCCCCAGGGTCCACGAGCAGGACACACCACCATCAGTACCAAGGGCCTGTGTGCTGCGTCAGTGCTCATGGCTGCGGGCTTGTGGCCATCCCTCTTCCTCTTCCCACCCTCCCCTCCGTGGCCCTGGAGTCTGGGCCAAAAGCTTCCTCTTTCCTATGTAAATCCCCCACTCAACACCAGGCTAGATGCCCAGCTGTCACCTCAGGGGCATCAGTCTTGACCCTCCCGCGCAGTGCAGACAGACACCCCACGGACAGCATGCAGTGAACCCACAGTGCTGGGCTCTGGGCCAGCAGATGGGCCATGGAGAGCTCTTACCCAGCCTCAAGCAAGTGCAGCCTGGAAGAGGAGGCTGACACAAACACGCAATTTCCACCCTGGGGAGGAAGCACTGTGAGGGCGTCAGGAATGGGGCCCCCGCCTGCTTTACATGCAAGGAACACACTTTGAGTGTAAGGACATAAGTGGGTAAAGCAAATGGGTGGGAAGCACACGATGCAAACACCAGTCAAAAGAAGCTGGAGAGGCTGTATGAGTGTCAAAGTGGACATCACAAGAGGGACATTTCTGGGAGCAAAGGTCACTATTTAATGACATGGGTTGATTTTCCAAAAAGACAGAGCAACCCTAAATATGTATGCACCTAACAACAGAGCTCCAAAATACATGGAGCAAAAACTAGTAAGACTGAAAAGATCATTCACTGGAGACTTTGACATTCCTTTCTCAGTAATCAAAAGAATAAGTAAACAGAAAATCAGGACCCAAACAAAAACAGAATGACTCCAACTGGAATTGACAGAACACTCCATCCAACAAGAGCAGGGTCTGCGTTTGTTTGCACATGACTCAGCAAGAGAGGCCACATTCTGGGACTTAAAACAACCCTCAACACATTTAAAAGAATAGAAATCATACACAGTATGTTCTCAGACAATAATGGAATTAAACTAGCTAGATATACAGAAAATACCCAAATATTTGGAAAACAATTCACTTCTAAATAAAACTGGATCAAAGAGAAAGTCTCAAAGAAATTTAAAACTATTTTGAAGTGAATGAAAATGAAAATACAACATACCTAACATTTTGGGATACAGCTGAGCAGTACTTGGATGGAAACTGACGGCATTAAGCATTTATATTAAGAAAAAATTAAAGGCCTCAAATAAGTAAGTTTCACTTTGAGAAACTAAAAGAAGAGAAAATGAATCAAAATCAAGTAAAAAGATGGAAATAATAAAGAGGAAATATCAGTGAAACTTAAATCAGAAAAATAGATAAAAATCAATGAAACCAAAAGTTGGTTTTGTTAAAGATCAACACAATTGATAAACCTCTAGGCAGACTAATCCAGAAATAGAGAAGACACAAGTTGTCAATATCAGGAATGAAAGAAAGACATCACTACAGATCCCATAAGCATTAGAAGGAAAATAAGAGAATACTGCTATGAAGCTAGTGGTGTACCCCCAGATCACTATGTCGAAACCCTGGTTCCCCATTTGACTGTACGTGGAGATGGGGCCTCTGAGGAGGTGATCAAGGGTACATGAGGCCATAAAGGTGGAGCCTGATCTGCAGAACTACTGCCTTTATCAGAGAGGAAGAGACAGCAGAGCTCTCTCTCCGCAACATGAATGTAGCGATTTGCCTGCCAAGAGACTCACTAGAAACCAGATCTGCTGGCATCTTGATCTCAGGCTTCCAGCCTCCACAACTATGAAAAATAAATTTCTGTTGTTTAAGCCCCCCACCCCCACTGCCCAGTCTGTGGTGTTTTGTTAAGGCAGCCCAAACAGACTAAGACAAATACTATCCCCATAAATTCAACAATGTAGATGAAATGGACCAATTCCTTGAAAGACACAAAATACCAAAACTCACTCAAGAAAAAATAGATAACTTATTCAGTCCTGTATGTAGCCCAACAACAAGAACAAATAAAAAACAAAAAAATTCTAGTCCAGATGGTTTCACTAGTAAGTTGTACAAATTTGAGGAATAAATAATACCAATTCTCTGCAATCTTTGGCAGAAAATTGAAAATTGCTAATTTATTTTTAAGTTCAACATTACTCTTATACCAAAACCAAAGACATTTCAAAATGATAAAAGTACAAACTAATATCCTTCAAGAACATAGAAACAAAAATCCTCAACCAGATCTTAGCAAATAGAATCCATCAATACATACAGAGGGCAATACATCACAACACATGGGTTTATCCAAGGAATTCAAGGCTGCATCAACATCCAAAATTTGATTATTATAATTCACTGTATTAAAACTAAAGAAAAAATACTTGTGGTTATCTCAACACATACGAAAAAGGATTTGCTGTAATCCAAATCCACTCATAATAATAAAAACTTTCATTAAACCAGGAATAGAAGGGAACTTAATTAACTTGAGGAGTAAGGGAGGTAGTGGGAAAAAAATTGAGAAATAATAGCAGAAATGTGTCCAAATGTAGTGACAACTGCAAACCTACAAGAAGCACAAGAACTATGAAGAAAATTTCACCAAGGCACATCCTAATCAAACTGCTCAGAGCAGCAATAGAACAGTCTTAACAGCTGCAGAGAAAATGGCAGCAGGAACTCAGAAATAAGGGAAAACAGGACAGCAGATGCCACATCAGAAACACGTGGGCAAGAAGGTGGTGGAGCCACACCTCTAAAGTGCTGAAGAAAGAGCCGGACACCAAGAATTCCACACCCCGGGGATGGAGGTGCATTGCCTCACAGACAGGTGGTGCGAATGATCCACACCACAGGCATGTGATGGGGTGTCTTCAGGCCGCAGGAAGTGGTACCGATGGTGACAGAGTGGGTGAACGCAATTTGTTCTCTCTACTCAAATATCGTTCAAAGATAACCAACCGTTTAAACAACAAAGACAGCAACACATTGTGCGGTTTGTGACCCAAGTAGCCACCAAAGGACTGACAGCCACAGTGGAAAGGCCAGGGCAGGAGGGACACGGTGCCCCGCTGTGTCTCCCGTCCCACTCGTGCAGTGGTGTGAACGGAACCAGAGCTGGGCGGGTGCCACCACTGCCTCTAGGCGCCAGTCCATCCTTCCTTGCTTGCTCTCCACTGAGAGACAGGGCCTGTCAAGCATTCCCCCCAACAGTGAGCACAGGGAGGCCCTGCTGGTGGCCAGCCCAGAGGGGAGCCATCAGGTCTGGGCTTTGGAGCCAGGGCTTCCTCTTTCTGTCGCTGCTCAGCACTGCCAGAGGCCGGGAAATCAGTGAACTTCCCATTCCAGGGAAGGAACTCTTCCAAGTTCCCTTTGGGCATGTGCCCCCACCTGGGCACCCTACAAGGTCCTCATGCCACCTCTGCACTTACTTCAATGTTAGTACTGCTACATATTGAAGTCTCTCAATTCAGAGAAAACATTAAAGTTAAAAACATAGAAACTGATATTTTTAGGTCCACATGTTTTAGAGATACATATTAAAACATATATGAGAGAAAGGACATGTCAGGGGTTTGCTTCTACATGATCTGGAGTGGAAGTGGATCAGCCAGTATGGAAGGCTGTCTGGCCAGGGCTGGTGGGTGCATGAACTGGCCTTATGATAAAATTCTCCCCACTTCTGTTAAAAGGTTTGAGATTTCCACAACAAAAAGTTTTTTTAAAACATTAAAAAGAGAAAAAATGTGTCATAAGGATACACGTATGTGGTCAACTGGTTTGGGACAAGGTTGACAAGGCCAGTCAACGGGGAGAGAACAGTCTCATTGACAAATGGCACTAGGACAACTGGACACCCATGTGCCAGAGAACGAAGTTCACCCTCCCTCACACTCGATGAAAAAATTAACCAAAGCTAGACCTAAGTGTAAGAGCTGAAACTATAAAACCCTTGAAGGGCCATATCTTCATGACCTTAAATTTGGCATTCGGGTCTTAGCTATGTGTGATATAATTTGGTCATTCAGATGACCAAATATGTATTTTCCAGATATATTTGGTCTTCATCCACAGTTCTTGGAAACACTGCAGTCTTAAAGTTGAAACGGGTATTTTGTCATGTTAATAAGAGACTTTTGGACCCGGACCAAGGGCAGGGGCTAGAGGCTGAATCAGACAATGGTCAATAATTTAGTCAATCATGACTGCAATGAAGCTCTCACAAAACCCCTGAGAGGAGTGTGTCTCTCTCTTTGCACCTTGCTTCGGAATGCTCTGCTGGAGAGTTTCCACACTTGGGGAAGCAAACGCCTCTGCGTGCCCCCAAGCCAGGCCCCAGGCTCCTTGAGGACAGAAGCTCTTGTATTTGGGACCCCGCCCTGTGTGTCTCCTCATCTGGCTGTTCACTTGTGTCTTTTACAGTATCCTTTATTAAACTGGTAAATGTAAGTGTTTTTCTGACTTCTCTGAGCCACTCTAGCAAATTAATCGAACCTAAGGGCAAGGTCGTGGGAACCTCCAATCTCTCAGAAGAACAGATAACTGCGCTGGGCATGCGACCAGAGTCTGCAGTCAGGGGTGAGGGCAGTCTTGCAGGATGGAGCCCTTAACCTAGGGAATCTGGTGCTGTCTCCCGGCAGCTAGTGTCAGAATTGAGTTGAGTTCTCAGACACCCTGTTGGTGTTTGAGAATTGCTTGGTGTTGTGTGTGGGAAGACCTCCCCTTCCACCCTGCCAATACACATTGGAATCAGGTCCAGTAACCCAAAAGGAGTTAAGCTCACCATCACACTATGTCACCAAAACCACAAGTAAGAAAAGAAAAAATTGATAAATTGGACTTTATCAAAATTTAAAAACGTGTGCTTCAGAGGACACTACTGAGAAAGAGAAAAGACAACTCACAGATGGGAGAAAATATCAAAAATTATGTATCTGATAAGGTTCTAGTATCCAGACTTTATAAAGAACTCTTACAACACAACAATAGAAAGATAAACAACCCAACTGAAAATGGGCAAAGTACTTGCTAGTCCTTTCTCCAAAGATAATATATAAACGGTCAACAAACACATGAAAAGATGTTCAGCATCATTAGTCGCTGGGGACATGTCAATCAAACCCAGCATGTCTTCACACCTACTAGGATGGCTTTACCCAAGAAAACAGAAAATAATAACTGCAGGTGAGGATGTGGACCCTGTATCCCATTGGTGTGGATGTAAGATGGTGTAGCTGATGTGGAAAACATTGTGGCATCTCCTCAAAAAGCAACACATAGAGTTACCACCTGACTCAGTGATTGCACCCCTAGGTACATGCCTCAGAGAACTGAAAACATGTTCAAACACAATCTGGCAGACAAATGCTCATATCATCATTATTCACAACAGCCAAAAGGTGTAAACAATGCACATGCCCATCAACTGATGGCAAAACGAAAGGGGGACTACTACTCAACCATGTAAAAAATGGTGTTCAGAGGCACAGAACAACCCAGATGAACCTTGGAATCTGTGTGAATGAAGCCAGACACAAAGTCTGCATATGTGATCCCAGTTCTCTACAATATCCAGAACAGGCCGATCCACAGAGGCAGAAGGTAGATTATGTTGCCAGGGGCTTGGGGATGAAGGGATGGGCAGTGACGGGCTTACTGGGAGCAGTTTCCATTTGGGGAGAACAAAGTTTTGGAATGAGACAGAGGTGGTGCTTGCACAAGTGTGGCAATATACTAAATAAATGCCACCGAGTAGTGCTTTTTCAAGGTGTTAGTGTTTTTCTATGACTTGTACCTCAATAAAAAATAGCACACAAGTTACATGTAAATATAAACAGAATGTACAGAACAGTAAGAAAGAGAATGGCAGGGGAGGAATAGGCACCAATGCTAGAAATGCCTGCAGGGAGGTCTGCACACTGAGAGTAGATGAGGGCAGCTTAAGCAGATGGGGATGCACTAGGGAACAGGAGGGCTGGAGAGGTGGGCTGGTGTGGGCGAGCTGGGACAGGGCTCTGGTGGCCACAGGCTGGAGCAGGAGCAGGTGGGTGGGTGCCTGGGAGGGTCCAGGCTTCTCAGCTTCACCCTGGGGCTTGGCCACCATGCATGCTCTTCTCTGGGAACCAGGTCGGCCCTCAGTGGTGCTGGAGGCCAGCATGCTGGGCCATCCCAGGCCCAGTCCCCACTGGAGGGGGGAGGAGGCTGGGGTGTTTCCCTGAGTCCTGAGAAGGGCTAGGCATGTAGCCACCAAGTTAAAGGTAAAGGGAACACCAGTCTCAGGAGACCCCATCCCCCCAGTGAGCTGCCAGGGTCCCTCCTACAGTCATCCACAGTGCTAGGGTGCTGGCCGGGGACCTGAGCGCCACAGGAGACACTGATGTGAGCTGGGCCCAACAGGGTGGTGTGTGGGCCTCCCAACCCCACTAAGCTCTGAGCTGGCTGTGTGTTTCACAGAGAAATCTGAACTTGTGTGAGTCCCTTCCTCTTATGGTGGAAGTAAGAGATGCCTGTTCTAGAAAACAGAAAACCAAAAGTCAAACATTAAAAGCCCCACATGCAGCCCCATTCCCTCTGGGTGCGTGCCCCTGGCCCTCTATCCGGCACTCTGGGCCAGCAGCACCAGAGGGAAACAGCATACATGGGCTGAGTCCAAACCCCGTCAGCCACTGGCCTCAGAGTCCTCATACGGCCGCTGAGGGCCACAGCAAAGGTCACGGCCCCACGTAAGGCCCTCTACCCGGGGCACTCTTCTGTCCACATGTGGGGACCATCGGCATATCACCTCAGGCCTCTGACGCCAGTTCTGAGAGCTCCACTGTGGCCACCCTGCCCCAGGAGCCCACAGAGACGGACACGAGGCCCTAATGGCCGAGGTCAGTGGAGGCCGGCCAGCCAAGGTGGCCTGCAGGGCACCCTGTGTGGGCCAAGCGCGAACCAGGCCACAAGTCCAGTCACACACATGCCACGTACCCAGAGCTTGGGGACTGAAGTTCCAGGGCACCCCTCACATGCCCTTTCTGCACAGAGCCCCTCGAGGACCAGAGCCTGTGGCCGTTCCCACAGAGGCTGTGGGTGATCAGTGGGGGCTGTTCCCCCACGGCCCCACTGTGCGGCCACAGCTTGAGGCCTGCTGGGCACTCCCAAGGGTGAGCAGGTGCTTCCGGCCCCAGCCCCTGGGGAAGGCCCAGAAAAGACAGGAGGGATCCAAGGGCAGGGACCCCACAGCCCTGACCTCTGATTCCAGGCGGTCACCTCCCTATGAGTGCGTCCCTCACAAAGTGTTCACAATCTGGGAACTTGAGGCTTTGGGGGAAAATACTTCTTGGTGCCATTAACTGAAACCCAGAGAATTCCTGGAACACCGGCCCTTCACCCTTCCCAAGAGTGAGAACCATCTTCACGTCTGGAAGCAGAGGGCCCAACTGCCACCATGCTTGGGGAGTCCCCAGGTCTGGTCTGGCCCCACCGGTGGTCCTGGGAGGGCCTGTTCAGAGTCCCGCCCGCATCTGCCCAAAACGCGTCTCCAAGAAAGCAGCCCAAGCGCAAAGGGCGCTTAGTGCGATCCTTCAGGCAGCGGGTCACAGGCAGGGGGTTCCGTTCACAGTGTGAGGGGAGTGGGGGGTCGGGGTCTGATACCCCCGGGCAGGGCACCTGAGAGGGCACGAGCGCTGGGAGCAGACTGGCTTCCCTCATAAGTGCCTTTTTATTTTTAGGTGAGAAGCCGCCCTTCGGACCCCAGGGCCTGGCGACGCGAGGATGGAGCGGGAGGAGGGCTCTACAAGAGGGTCTCCATCGCGGGACAGGGGCCGGCAGAGCCGCCCAGGGCACTTACCCGGGCCGGCGGGGCGCGGAGGCTCAGGCGCTCCCACGGGGGAAGCGCGCACGGCCCGGGAGCTGTGGCTGCGCGGCTGCTGGCGGTAGCATCTCGGGGACCAGGCGGCGGCGGCGGGCGAACAAGAGCGGCCCCACCCGGCACGCGAGCCCGCCCCGCCCCGGAGGCGACCCAGCCCAGGAGGCGGCAGAGGGCGCGCGCGCATCCCCGCCCCGGCCCGCGCCGCGCCACTCCGCGCCCTGCCGTGTCCGCGCGCGCCTGTGCGGGGCGCGCCCTGCGCCCCTCCAGGCCCTGTGGTCTCCCCAAAGTCTGTCCGCTCCAGAGTTCCCTGCATCCACTGAGCCGCCAGCGCCCCCTGCGGGTGCCCCCCTAGTTCTCCCCCAGAGCCACGTGCCGGCGGAGGCTGAGCGCACACCCGGCCGCGGGGCAGAAGTGCGCGGCCCGGGCTCCCCAAGCCGCGAGGTCGCTGCTGCCCCGGAGCGAATAGGTAACGTGAGGTTAGCGTGTCCCGCGCCGCCTGCTCGCGTGGGGTCGTGGATAAAATCTAAAGGACTGATGGGCTTTACAAACTGTAAAATATTAATATCATACTCTGGACCCTGAGCTTCCCAGGAACTGCCCCGTCGTTCTTGCGACGTCCCAGTCCCGGGCCTCTCAGGGTCCCACGCGGCGGAGCGCGCGGCGCGGACGCCCTGCTCCGGACCCGCGCTCCGACTCCGGGAGCCCGCGCGCTCTGGACCTACAGTGGGGACCCTGCCCACTGCTCCTCTTCCACCCCGACAGTCCCTGGCCCCCTCCTCTCCTGTGTGCCGAGGGACACTTCCGGACTCTGAATCCACCCGACCCCCACCTGATGGGGCTCGGAAGCCCAGGACACCCCGTGAGCCTGGACTAACACTCTGAGGTCTCCTCCAACGTCCGAGGGCCCCCTAGAGACCGCAGGCCGCTCCAGTGCCACCGCCCTCCCCAGGGCTGCCGGGGTTCACCGGCCCGTCTCCCACGCCCAGTTCCGGGAGCGGCCCCTCAGCACCGCTGCTGTCCTCATCCAAGCCCTAGGGCCCCACGCCCTGCAGCTGCAGCGTGGGTGTCCTCCAGGCCTCCACCAGGCTCTGAGCAGTCTCCCCGGAAGACCCCATCCTCTTGCCCGGCCTCCCCTATGCGCCTTGAACCAAAATGTGTCCCCAGGACCTTAGGGAAATGCTCTTCTCCAGACTCCTAGGGCCAGCCCACCCGCAGCGTCCACCCAGACGGGGCCCCACTATCCACCTGGTGGCCCTGAGGTTGAAACGAGTCTTTACTCCTCCCTTCTGTCCAGGGAGGTGCTCCAGCACCCACTGCAGAACAAGGGCAGGGAGAGGGAGGGGGAGAGGAGGGTGAAGGAGGGAGAGAGGGGCAGGGGAGGGAGGGGGAGAGGAGAGGGAGAGGAGGGAGGGATGGGGAGGGCAGGAGGGGAGGGAAAGTAGAGGAGGAGGAGGGAGTGGGAGGGGAGGCGGAGGAAGGGGGGCCGATTCGCTGCAGCTCAGTCCCCACGTAGTGCAGTGCCCCGTAGCTGCCCTGCTCCTACAGCCCCCTGCACCCCTGGACTGTGCTGACTACCGCCCAGCGTCCTCTGGTGGCCCTGTGGAGCCAGCCTTCTGCAGGGTCCGTGAGCCAGCATGTGCGAGTCCCATGCCGGCAGGGACAGCTGCCTCCAGACCACTGCTCAGCTGGCCCTCCAGCCCTCCCGCTGTCCCTGTGCTGCTCCATTTCCTGACCCAGGCCTTCCTCCCAGTTTACTCACTGTTTTGCTGGAGCACATCCTCCAGGAGATTCCTATTAAAGGAGCATAGGAGGAAAATTTCTTAAAAACTGTCTGCCTGTACAGCTGAGGGATGGCTTGACCAAGGACAGAAAAAAGGGGGAGACAATCTCCCTCCTCTCGGGAGGGGCAGGGCCTTGGAGCAGCCATGGCCCCTGGTGCTGGGCACTGGTGCTCCCTGCCAGACTAGCGCACCTCCTTCAGTTCTAGAAAATGCCTCCTTATTTGTTCTGAAATTTTCTTCCCTACAGTTTTCTCTGTGCTTTAATAACTTTTTTCCCTTCTGGATATCCTAATTTTACTTTGTCATAGTTACTTCTCATTCTGTATTGTTTCTTTCCTGCAGTATGTCTGGTCCTCTCTCTGAGATGCTGCTTCTGATCCCTGAACTGCTTCGTTGACAGATGTCAAGTGGCCTTCCCCGGGCTTCCTTCACAAGTGCTGCACTGCCCTGCAGAAGCCCTCAGGCGTCCCTCGGGCTCACCCTCCTGAGCCTTGAGGCTCTGGGAACTGGCGGCCTCCCCCTGCAATCATCCTCAGAGCCGAGGGCCAGGTGTCTCCTGTGTTACCAGCTGCTGAAACTTTGTTTTCCTCTCTCTGGGTTGTTGTGTGGTTTGAAGGCAATTTCAAGAGGAATTTTACCATCTTAAGACTTCCCTGAATTGTTGGCAGCCAATTTGAACCTATATCAAACAAAGTGAGGTGGAGCCAGCAGGTCTGGAGTGCCATTTGGTGGGAAGAACTGGCAGGTCAGGTGTGCCCTCTGCACTCTCACCTCCCTGCCTGAACAGGACGAGGTCCAGGGTGCCCTCGGACCAAATCCCAGCCTCACTGCTGCTCATCATATCACTGGCCAAATCATGGGCCCTCCCTGATCCTCATTTCTTATTGATGAAACAGGTAAGTATAGACCAATGGGGCAGAAGAGCCCCCAAACAGACCCTCACCTATGTGGTGAGATGATTTTCAACAAGGGTGCCAATGGGAAAAAAACAGTCTTTCCAACAAATGGTGCTGGGAAAGTGGACATCCACTGCTGGAGAATGAGGCTGGATCCTTACTTCACACCATATACAAAAATTCCCTCTAAATTCATCAAAGACCTACAATAAGAGATAAAACTTTAGAAGGAAAGACAGGGGAGAAAATTCATGACATTGGTTTTGGCAATGATTTCTTATATGTGACACCAAAAGCATATGCCACAAAAGAAAATATACACAAATACTAAAAATAAAATAATAAAAAATAGAGCTAGATAAAAATTCAAAGCTTTTGTGCATCAAAGAACACCAACAATAGAGTAAAAGGCAACCTATCACAGAATGGAAGAAAATATTGAAAATCATGTATCTGATAAGGGATTCATGTCCAGAATAATTAAGATCTCCTACAACTCAACAATAAAAAAATCACCAATTTAAAAATGGACAAAGGACTTGATAGACATTTCTCTATAGAAGAGACACAAATGGCCAGTAAACATCTGAGAAGATGCTTTTCATCACTCATCAGTGGCGGATGCAAGTCAAAACCACAGTTTCACACTGTTAGGGTGGCCATTATAAAAAAGCAAGTGTATTAATGATCAGTGAATAATAAAAAATACTTACAGAAAGAAAAAAAAATGATCCAATGGGGGAAGTTTGTACACTGACTAGACGTTGGGTGATATTAAGGGAATAGAGTTTATTTCTTGGGTGTGATAATTGGGGTTATGTTTTGGAGAACAGTCTTTATCTTTTAGAGACAATGCTAAAGTATCAACAGATTAAATGACAGCATGTCTGGGTTTTGCTTCACAATAATATAGGAGAGGGAGACGTGGGCAGGGTTATAAATAAACAGGATTGGTTATGAATGAATAATTTTTGGATCTGGATAATAGAAGGTTCATTATTAACATTGTCTTTTCTATTCTATCTGTTTGAAAGTTTTCCATAATAAAAAGTAAAAACAAAAAACAAAACAAACAAAAATAAAAAAAGCAAGTGTTGGCAAGGACGGAGAGAAAATGGGACTACTGCAGAAAGTGGTGTGGCGAGCCTCCAGAAGTTAGACACGGAATCACCACGTGGTCCATCACTTCTGGGTATAAAAGCAAACAAACTGAAAGGAGGGGCTTGAAGAGATAGTGGGACACCAGTACTCACCATCACCAATGCTGGAAACTAACCGAACGTCCTCAGCAGGCGAGTGGATGAGCACGAGACACAGCCTAAAGACGGGGGAGCCCTGGCCCCACCACGGCATGCTGGACCCCAGAACACTGTGCCTGTGGACCAGCCAATCACAAAGACAAATCCTACTTGCCTCTTCTGAGCTCCCTGGAGGAGGCAGATCCACAGACACAGAAGGGATGGTGGGGCTGGGGAGGGGAAGGGAGGGGAGAGAAGGGGGTGAGTGTTCAGTGGGGACAGAGCTTCAGTTTGGGGAGACAGAAAGTCCCGTGGTGGTGGGGACGCTGCACGACATGTGAATGTGCTTCACACCCTGAGCCGCGCACTTGACGTGGTTAGGATGGTGAATCTGATACCATGTGTACTTTGACACAAACACACCACATAGGAATCCCCACCTTTCCCCAGTTATCCACCAGGTATGTAAGCTCCCACTCTTTGAGGCTGACAGGGGCTAGATTCCTGGGGCCTCTAGTCTAGTGGGGGTCAGACATTGATCAAAAATCATACACACCCACACACGTGTGTGCAAGCATGTGCACACTGCACTTAAATGCTATGGAGAAGTGTAGTGAGCCTGGAGCCCATCTGTCAGGTGGTGGAGGTGAGAGCTGTGTGTGAGGAGGGTATACACTGCCCAGCCCCTCTGTCCCCACCTTGCAGGGTAGCATGAGGGGGGACCTTGGGTGACAGGAGTGCCTCTGACATCTGCTCCACCTGCAGACCCAACCCTCCCCGGGTGAGGGGTTAACAGCCCCCATCTCTGGGCCCAGGGGTGACCATCCCCTGTCCCCACACCTCCTGCTGCCCTCCTTGACCTGGCTCGTCCAGACTGGGACAGCTGACTCTGACTAGGCTGGCTTTACTGATGACTGGGGCAGTGGCTACAGGTGGGGCTGTGCTGACTCTGTAGGATTCTCCTCTTCATCAAGAGTCCAGGTGTGAAGCTGAGAACTCAGGTATCTGGAGCAGGTTCTTCAATTTCCCGTAAGTCAAACTAGGAGCTGGGTCACCAATGCTGTTCAAATGGCAAGAGAGTGTGAGAGAGCAGGTGCCCGGGGGGCAGGGGGACAGGTGATCCGGCTCTGCGGGCAGTTGAAGCAGCTGGCCTGGCTCCCACACTGGTCTCCCTGTGAGCCCCACCGAAGCCAGGCCACTTCCCTTGTGGCACTCCACCCACCCCATCCCAAACCCTACCAGGTGGACTCAATTAGCTGAGCGCAGAGCACCAGGGCAGCTCTGCTCTCCAATCCTTGCTGCTTCCTTAGGTTCATGCGGGCAGGTCCATGGAGTCTAGGCACCCTCCAGGGTGTGGCCACACTGCCCCCGTGTGGCCGACTGGCACTCGTGGGCTGCGTGTGGCTCCCAGCATAGGCACCCTCACTGCTGCCCTTCTGCCAGCCTGGGCTCCCCAGCAGGACGGCCCAACCCCTCAAGCCTACCAGCCTCTCTGGTCTTCTAGAGGGCACAGCTGCCCCCACTCACACCTGACGAATGGATGAGCACAATGTGATGAGCCTAAAGACAGGGCGTCCTGGCCCCACCACGGCACGCTGAACCCCAGGACACTGTGACTGTGAACCAGCCAGTCACAAAAGACAAATCCTGGGTGCCTCATCCGAGGTCCCTGGAGGAGGCAGATCCACAGAGACAGAAAGTGGACGGTGGGGCCGGGGAGGGGAGGGGGTGAGTGTTCAGTGGGGACAGAGCTTCAGTTTGGGGAGATGGAAAGTCCCATGGTGGTGGGGATGCTGCACATGTGAACTGAATGTGCTCATGCCCTCAACTGTGCACTTAAAATGTTCAAGATGGTGAATTTTGTTGTATGTATTCCAACATAATGGGAGATGGCACTCTCACACCCCCACTGCCGTTCCTGTATTATGCCCCCTCCTATGTGCCTCCACTGGCCAAACCCAACTCCCACCAAGGGTCAGGGCTGTGCACGTCTGTCCCTCACCTGAGTGCATGTCCCTACCTGTTTCTCCCCCTCACACCTGTGAGGTTAGGCCACACTACTTCATTAGAGGAACAGCCCTTCCTGCTAATGAGGGTCAGACTCCACGACTCATCTTTGTTCACCTCACCAGGGAAGGCAGGGCCAATCACACATGTACACAGTTCCCTCACTGTGGCTGATGGTGAAAGAACAGACCTCTGGTGTCCACCATCCAGACAGAGACCAAACACCACTGTGTACCTGGGGACAGCACCTCACCGAGGCCCTTGGTTGCCATCTGACCAGCTGAGAGGGCTGCAGGTGCAGGTGGGGGGGAGCAAGGAGGGTGGATGGGGCACGTGGAGGTGGCCTCGCTGCTGCCTTCACTCTAAGCTGGGGGTGTTTGCAGGCCTGAGGTCAAGGGAGAAACGACAGCAGTGGCTTCCACAGCACCTTGGGTAGCCACAGTGTGCAGACAGGGACGAGTGTAAGGTGGTTATGGGGTGGTTTGGGGGAGAGGGCCTGTGGTTTGGGAGCTGGAAGACTTTGAGGCCAAGGTGCCCATGGGAACCCAGGGAGAAGTCACTTGAGGATCTGGATGTGTGGACCTGAGCCTCTTGGGGGTCTGGGGTTTGGGACCAGAGGCCTCTGGAGTCGGGAATTTGGGTCAGAGTCAGGCCATTGCCCTCCCTGGAGGACTGGATGTCATGAGCTGGTGCTAGGTCCTGAGCACACAGACACCCGGATGGGCGCCCGGCGTGGAAGGGGTGGCATCACCCTGCACCAAGCTCACCAGGCCAGGCCGCAAGACCGAGTACCCCACATGCCATCATGCCACTCATCAGAGGCCATGGAGAAGGAACGCACAAGCACCCAGGGACCCATCCGCAGCCGCACGGGCCCCTAACAACAGAGCTCCTTGGATACCCCATCTGAGAGCTCCAGGCTCCTTCATGAGTCACTGATACCCATCCAGAACCCGTGTCCTCATAACATCTGCCCCAAATTCTGGTCCTGGGAAGTATACTTCAAGGGAGGAGAGGCAGAACTGGCCTAGAGCGGTTCCCTGTAGGCAGGGTGGGGGCTCCCCTGGGTCAGCCCTGCCCTGACTGCAGGTGACAGGAGCCACCATGTGGACTGGCCACACTACTTGTTTCCATGTTTCAAAGCCCTAATTAACAGACCATTGCAGGGTAGAGCAGAGCTGTTAATAAATGACAAGAACCCAGGAGCTTCTAAACCAAATCTGTGTTTGAACATCTGAAGGAGTTTTATAGCATTAAACTAACCCCCCTGACTGCGGTTGATGGCTCTTGAGAGGTTGATGGTCAAAGGCTCTTGATTTCCTTTCCTAGGTGTCCCGACCCTCAGAGCTCCTACGAGTGCACAGGACGGATGAGGACTGGGGCACAACTGTTTTATTGCTTTTGCTGCATATGCAGATGAATACAGTCCCTTTTTTAAAAAGTAAGGCACATGAAAAGCCTTTCACACAACCTTGTATTATTTTAAAATTTCTATTGGCTACTAAAAGTATCTCCAGTATAGAACTGGGGCTATCGAGACAAGCATATGATAAACTTTTGCATGCAGAATTCCTGAAACATTATTACACCTTAACTCATGGCACAATTAAACAATCCCCAATCTACTGTCTGAACCGAAACGATGTAACTCGTTACAACTGCAGAAACATTGACCAGCTTATCCACATATGTACAGAGGGTCCCCAAATGTTAGTCATATAAAGTCTAAAGAACAGTGTCTAACTGCATCCGTGTTCCATCTCGTTAAAGGTAAGAGATTTGGCATTTTCAGTCTTTTTACTGAGAGTCTCGCTTTAAAAAGGCCAGTGTTATACGATGCTGAAGACCATGGAAAGATACTGTTCATAGGACACCTGGATCCAGCCGTCCTGATCCGTATCGTAGCGTCTGAATATATCAGTCAACCTCTGGGAAGAAACAATAGGCATTTAGACCTTAATGTTCACTAACAGAGGAACAGACTGTATTTGGAAAAAAGACAACTGCAAGCCCAATTTCAGAAGCACTGACGTCTCCACATCCCCTAATTCTGATGGAGACCAGAAAAGGGAGGCACTGGCAGATATCCCCGGCCACCCACCAAGTCAGGCCCGTCCACCCTGGAGAATGCTGGGGATTGGGGTGGGGGAGAACACGAAGCCAGTATGAGGTCAGGGGCGTGCACTCTGCCACATGGGTGCAGGACTGGACGGCACTTCCCCAGCTGCTGGGAGCTGTGTGCGATGACCTTTGCCTCAGTAGAAATATAAAGGTCAGATGTTTGCAAGAGAGACACACACACACACACACAAAAGGTCAGATGTTTGCAAGACACACACACTCACACAAAAGGTCAGATGTTTGCAAGAGACACTCACTCACTCACTCACTCACTCACTCACTCACTCACTCACTCAAAGGAAAACCCCACCCTAGAGCAATTCAGATGCAGATCACGAGAGGCTTCCTAGGTGTCAGACAATCCTGCAAATGTGACCTGGTCTCACTAGACCCTGAAGCACATGACCTGAAGCTTACATGTAACAGGCCTGGCTATCCAGCAAGGCACTGACCACCAGTCAGAGAAACTTCACGTTTACTGATTTTACTGGGGAAAAAAATCTGAGTATGTTTTCCAAAATTCCAAATTACATTTACAATTTGGGATTCATGCTGGTCACATCTCAGCTGACAAGATGTCACCTCAACTTGGATTCAAACTGCAAGGCCTTATCTCTTAGAGACAAGTTCTACTGAAATATTCATGGAAAAAGCATTTGCTTTCCGTAAATGGAATTCTGCTTTGGAACAAGATGGGGTCATGAAGGCATGGTGCTGACAACTGCTGGGTCTCAGTGGTGAGCACAGGCCTATTACACTGTATCTCTGCTGCTGTTTTTGAGATGTCATTATAAGAACTTTGAAAGACACACAGAGTTCATCAATTCAGCGTGTTTCTGAAGCTTAAATGTATGGCAGATGGATCCTTCCCAGACACGGGAGCTTGGGCCTGCGTGGGAGTAGCTGGGTGTGCATGGGAGCCATGGGGCCTGGGTGGCAGCCGAGTCCTGACCTGGTAACCGGCCAGGCACCCTGCGTCTGGAGGATGCTCCTGCCCCTTGGAGCAGGCCCTGTGGTTGTTCCACACTTCGCGGCGGCAGTGTAGGAGACTGCAGTAGCACTGGGGGAAACGTGGAGTACAGGGGCTGGACGCTGCTTGGGAATGCTCCCACCCCAAGCAGGGCCCTGCTGCCCACAGCCAACTCACACTCAAAGGCAGGGCACAGTGAAGATGGCAACAGAAAATTCAGCCATTTCCTTGGAATAAAGTACAACAAAAACACCAGGGTATCCATTTGACAACCCACTTAACACAAGGACCTCCCCGAAGTGGGCTGCTCTGCAGAGCCCCACGGGGAGACCAGCTGCTGTGTGCCTGCCATCTGAAAGCAGTAGCAGGTGCTTCTCTGAAGACAACACTAGCATCCACAAGTCTGGCTCCATTAAATTGCAAATTCTGGAATGGCACCTCCCTTCCCTCCACTTTGCTGTGGTTCCCTTCCCACTCTGCAGGCTCATGCTGCGACCCCAGGAGCCCCCAGTTACCTGCAAGACGATGCAGCCCTGGATGAAGTCGTCAAATGCGATCTGTCCCCGCCCTTGTCTGTCAAATTTTCGAATCAGGATGTCGTGAAACTGGTCAGAGAGCCGGTACCCTTGAAGATGCAAATCAGAATGAAGAGGGGTCAGGAGAGCAACACCATCAACAGTCTCCCACCAAAACACCCAGAGCCTCCCACAACAGCAGGTGACTGATCAGGCAGTGGCAAACAGGCACACTGATGTACACGCACCCTAGGCACAAAGTCATGCACTTTGTAACTGCCCTCTTCCAGGCAGCAAAGTGACTGAGTGAAGATAGCAGTAGCTGCTGTAGGAGCTGAGGTGTGGACACTCATCACCCGTGCACATCACCTACATTCATACTATGGGGCTGTGCCTCCACAGGACAGCTGGGATCAGTTTCTTGAATGCAGTGGAGTTACCGTTTCACAAAGTCCTCTACTGATGAACTTTATTATGCTTATTAACTGAGACATGAAAGTTCTTGGTAATTGAACTGCCCAGGAACTTGCTACTAGAGAGTGCTTTGAAAGGGCTTATCACTGAAGGCTTCCTGTTAAACAAAAGGTGAATTAACGAACTAGGTTCCTAGATGGGCACTCCCCTGTAAATCCATTCAACATCAGGAAATGGGAGATTACAAGGGGCAAGGCAGCCTCATGAAATTCAAAACCACTGAAGGGTCATCAAATGTTAGGCAGACTCGCTGACTCCATTTCCAACTTGGTATGTGAGTCCTGAGAAGGTCTCCAGGGTGACCCCACTACACGGGGATGCTGACCTTCCCTCTGCACCCTTCCTGTGTGACCGTGGATCCTTGCTCATGCAGAAGACAAGCATGTACCAGAGCCTGCTTATCAGTTCTCAGCCCCAGTGGATCTTTGCAAGGATACACACCTACTATCTGAGTGAATTTCAGTTAATCACCTGCATGAGCACTTAATCACCGAAAAAGATTCAACATGCAAGCACATGACAGTGCCTTCCAGAGCAGTCAGCACATGCTACAAGCCTCTGTGACTTAAACCTAGGCCCGCTTCCCTGCAAGCTGAGTAGATGACAGACTCCCAACCTAGTCAGAAAAGAGAAGCAGGTCCTGGACAGGCACCTAGGAGTCCTGGCTCCTCACACCCCACACCGTGCCTGTGGGGAAGAGGCCCAGCTGGTGTGGGCTGGGCATGGGGCCTGGTGCCAGGGCAGTGCCCACATAGGCTGCAGAGAGGAGACGGCCATGGCTGCCCAGGTGAGAAGGGACAGGCTAGATGGTAAGACACAGGATCTCCACAATCTGTACAGAAAACAGAAGTGACTTCTGCTGCCCCTGGGATTAACCTCCAATTTCCCTGGCGTCTAGTCATTGTAAGAATAAAACCAAAGAAGTCAGACAAGAAAAACAGATGATGAAGAAATGAACTGTGAGGAGGAGTTACCCAGGGGACTGTTCTCAAGAAATTTCCTTTGGTGAAATCATGTGACTATGACCCCACCAGCCTGAGAATGGCTGGGCTCTGTGTGGCCAGGCTGTGGTGGTCAGGCCGGCAGCTGCTGGGCCCAGCATGCCGGCTGAAGGGCCCCACCTCTGCCACACTCTCCTTCTGGATAAAACTTTCTGACTTAGGGTATACAGTGGTGACAATGGCAGATCTTGGGCACCACATAGATGCCTCCTCCTGCCACAACCAGGGTGCAGATTGCCAGCTCCGCTACGACCTGCCTGGGGTAGCAAGAGCATGGCTTGGAGCCAGACTGGGCTCCGCTGGCCCCAGCCAAGCCTGGGACCTCCTGGCTTGCTTCTCCTCTTCCAAACTGAGACACAGACCCACCTCACCTCACAGCACCGGTCCTAGGTCAGAGGGAGGCAGAGGGAGACTCAACCCGACCCCCTTGTGCATCTGCTGACCTTTAATGCAGCCCCCAGCTTAGCTGACCAAAATATTCTTAGGAGTCAAAACTGAACTTTGACTCTGAGGCATGTTTCCCAACAGTGACTACTGAGCATCTTCCAACCAGCATGCAAAAAGGATGGCAATGTTCCTTTCGTAGCTGGCCTTGGGGAGAACCCATCTCATGAAGGAACATCTCAGAATAATTGAAGTAATGCTGCCACAGAATATTTACTTTCTCCAGAAGAAACCTGGAAGTCAAGAAGGGTCTTGGCATTGCCCAGCCTAAGAGAACCTACTGCTCTTGACCACAAAGGATCAATCTCCTGCATGTGACTTATGTCTGCACCATGCCTGCAAACACCTTGGGTCTGCTCAGGACACAGAGGCCCAGGAGGCCAGGGGCACCATCTGCCTCAGCATTTCCACTGTGAGCTCTGAGGACCCCACACTAAAAAGAAGACTCTGGGCCTGACATGTTTAGGTAATGCCATGTTCTGGGTTCACCTGTCTGGAAGTAATTCCATATGGCCCCCACCTGAGGGCAAAGCAAGGTCAGCTCATGCCAAGTGCTAATCAGAGGGCCTGAGGTCAACGTCCTGCCTAAATCCTGACCCACGGCTGGAGAGCTCGCAGCACAGATCTCTGTGGAGTCCGTGAGCCTCTAAGAACTCGGGCTGACTTTCTAAGGCAGCAAAGGGAACAGAAGAAAGAGGGAGACAGCCTGAGTACACGCCCAGAGAATGGGGAGGTCAGAAGCCATGCCAAACACAGACCTGAAATGTACTTTGTACTATTAAATCTATAATTTAACTTCTCTTGTTTCTTCTAGAAGGCTTCTGTAAGCAGACTTTCAAGCAAACACAGCAGGGGTTTGGCGATATGGGCCCAGGGACAGAGGGCTAAGTGAGATTGTCCCAAACTGACTGGAATCTCCACATGCCTCCCACCAGGCTCACCAGCCCCGCAGCATGCCTTTTTTCCTCCATTAAAACCCCAATTCCTCTCAGACTCACACTGGTGTCAGAGGTCCTGCTGACTCACTCTGGAAGGCACCAGACACCGGGAGCACAGCACACACTCAGGCCTGGCATGTGTGCAGGGTGTGCACACATGCGGACATGCCCTTGAGAATGGGAGCCATGTGCTTGCTAAGACGCTGAGACATGTAGTTTGCACGGCAGCTCACAAAGTCATCTCTTGTGGGCACTTTATCATCTTTCTGTGTATTTTGATATGTCATGAAATACAGGCTGCCATATATCATTTTGTTTTCACTTATTCACTTTGAATTGTTCTAAAAGCAACATTCTCAATGTGCATGTGACATCATTCCATTTCACAAAAGATAAACGATTGCATAGCCCTTATCTCATTTTGGATGAAAAACGCATAGAAGTCTCCACGTCAACTATAAACCTCCCAGATGGAAACAGTATCAAACTACAAATCTGCATGATGTAAACAAAAGTTTCACATAGACTGTGTTAAAAAATCTGCAGGTTGAACAAAGTAAAAACAACTTGAATGGCTTCAAGGTTCCAAAATGAAATATGCTACACAATCAAGGTAAGTAAATTACCAAAACCTGAGAGTGCTTGCTTTAGCTCGTTCTTGTCAATCATCCCAGAATTGTCCCGGTCGTAGGTGCGGAAGACGTTCTGCCAGTCCGTGATGTACTTCCAGACGCCAGTGAACTCGCTGAAGTTCACGCCAGCCTTGTTCTCCCGGTCAAACATGGCTGAGACAGAAAGCAGCATGAGTGGCAAAGGGAGTCCTGACAGGCATCAGAAGCCAGCTTCCACACCTCTCCTAGACCAGGGGACCTGCGTGGTGCTCAGCCAGTGAATCCCTACGTGTTGCTGATAAATTCACTGAGTGGGGAGCCAGGTCACCTCTGCAGAACGACACAAATGCAAAGAAAGTGCCAACACCCTAAAGACAGTGCTTCGCACTGAAGTGGCCTCAGCTGGGTGCTCCTGCTTTGCCAGAGGGCACAGAGGTGCAGACAGGTGGAGCAGCTTGCCCCACTCCTTGCCACGCTCCTCTTCGGGGCTGGGTCACAGTTCCATTCTGCAGGGGACCTATAGCCAAGGTGCCGGTCACAGGTGTCCTCTGTCAAGGGAGGCCCATGCCGGTGAGAACAAGACACACACTTTAGATCTTTTCTTAGTAAGACCTGCAAGTACATTTGTATGTAATTGCACAATGTTACAGAAATAAAGGAGAACTGTCTGGACTGCTACAGTGCAAACGATGAACCATTTGGTGTCTCTTCAGGTTAAGAGACTAATGCGAGTGTTCTCGGTTTGGCTAGAAGCACACACAAGTCAGCGAAATCGCACTTGGGGAACAGTCAGGGGAGAGACTGAGGACCAGCTCCCCTGTCAGCGACCACCCCGGGTCCACGTGCATGTGAAATCTTGGATCACACACAAGGATGGGACAGACAGTAAACTCCAAGTAAGTCTAGGGCAGTGAGGGGAGAGTAGGAGCCCCATGCCCACCTCACTGGTGCCCAGGGAAGAGTGAGGCAGGCGCATGACTGTGCCGCACGGGGAGACACGAGCGCCAGTACTTACAGATGATTGACCTGACAGTCACTGGATTAAATGGAGTCCACGTGCCTGAAAGCAAACAGGAACTAAAGTAAGAGAAAATGGTTTCCCCAGGAAACTGAGTTCCTAATATACACCATCAGGAGCTATTGAAATTGCTTTTAGCATGAAGTCCTGAGGCCACCGTTCTCAGCAGGAGACACTCCCCAGGGAATTGCTGAGGGCTGCCTGACCCCCAGGAGAGGCTGTAGGCCTTTCATGGTTTGTACAGGAGTCCCTCTCGTCCCAACAAGCTGTTTATCTGAGCCTGGAAACTTACTCTTACTATGTAACAAAGAAATGGTGTAACAACTCTGCACACAGGCCACGTCCTCATGTTCCCTGCAGGAATCGTGCCTGAGAACACTGCAAACACACCAAAAACCACACTTCTTAATCTGAAATTTCAGTCTGGCATTACACTATTTCCCTTCAGATTGTGAAAAAGTAGGTAATGTTCTATAATTCATTTCAGAATAGTAATAGCGATGTTGTAAGGGGACGGTTGAATCTGATGGGTTTAAGAACTTAGAACCATTCATCAATTGTGATGACCAGATTCCTTTATGCCTAAGAATCTGTTTTCACAGTATTTGTTCCTTTATCAAATTTTATACTCATAAAAAAATCTCTGATGTGGAGGGAAGGCAGTGTCTCTCCCAAACCCCACTTGATAACCACCCCATTTCTCCTTCTATACAATAACTGCCAGTTCTGGAGGCACAGAGACCACCCACTTTACATGCACATCTGCAGCTCAGCACCCCTCCCCCCATGCCAGGCCCCCCCAGCGGCCAGGCCTCAGGCAGGCTCCTCTCAACTTGAAGTGTGGCCCCAGCACACACACACATAACCCTTCCCTCCAACTACCCTCTAAGCCTCAGGTGAACTGCTTCCTCAGGGGAGCTTTCCAGAGCTCACTCCTAGTCCCTAAATTAAATCTACCTGCTCTAGCAGCCGCCCTCTAACTCGCCCTTGGGAACATGGCAACCCTAATAACCCCAGGAAGGCAGGGCCTCCCTTCCCTGAGCCTGGCACACATTGGTGCTGGGGAAGCACTCTGCCCACGCTTTGAAGATGCTGGGGACAGGGCGGACAGGAGAATATACATAAAGGTATTAGAAAAACTCAGTATTATGGAAAACCACTGTAAAAAAACTGTTACAAGAAACAACAAGAGTCTGAGAGGATGTGGAGAAAAGGGAACCTTTGTGCACTGCTGGCAGGAACGTAAGCTGGTGCAGCCACTGTGGAAAGCAGTATGGAGGTTCCTCAAAAACTAAAAATAGAAATACCACACAATCCAGCAACTCCACTTCTGAGAATTTTCCCCAAAAAAGGAAAACTGATTTGAAAAGATCTATGCTTACGTTCACAGCCGCATCAGTGACAGTAGCCAATGCGTGCAAGCGACCTGAGAAGCCGTGGACGGATGGCGGATAAAGATGCAGTACAAACACGGTGGAGTGCTAGCCACAGAGAGAAGGAAACCCTGCTGCTTGCGACAACATGGATGGACCTAGAGGGAGGGCCCTGTGCTATGTGAAATAAGCGAGGAGGAGAAAGACACATACCCTATGACCTCACTTACATGTGGATTCTCAAAAAACAAAATGAGCAAACGAAAACCCAGAAGTGGACTCACAGAGACAGGGAACAAACTGGTGGCTGCCAGAAGGAACAGGGAGGGAGAAGACGGGTGAAATCAGTGAGAGTGACAAGAGGCACTCACTTCCAGGGATAAAATTAACAAGTCACAGGATGGAAGGTCAGCAGGGAATACAGTCAAAAATATGAAACCACCTGGTGTGACACTTTATGGTGAGCATTTTGTATGTATACAAATGCTGAATCACTTTGCTGTATACCTAAAACTAGTATTACGTCAACTATACTTCACTAACAAAACCTGTTACAGAGAACTCAACACTAACAGAAGCCTGGACACAGAGAGTGTTACGTCCCCAGGCAGCTGCTCGCCCCCCTTGTATCGGCTGTTGCCATTAGCCACACGGGGCCAATGAACCAAGGGCACTGACTGGAGCCCCCCTGCATCTTTCCTGTCCTCACCACCTCCAATACAGGCCATGGCCACACGGACAGCCTATGAGTGCCTGCTTAACTGAGCTGACTGCACAGCTGGAACGATCTCTCAAAGTGAGGCTGTCCCCCCAGCCCATCCTGACTGGGGGCAGGAGCTGCACCAGAGAAGAAGCACCGTTGGACCATCTCAACAAATGACTTGGCAAATCAAGTTCTAAACAGAAGCAGTACAAGTAAAATAGCTAAAAAATGCTGCAAACACAGGTGCGTCTTGTGGTGAAACCAGGTGTCACCTGGTTTGGATGTATGCAGCACAAACAGGGCACATCCCTGAGAGACACGGCCCTGGGGGATCGGGTGACCCTGCTGGAGGGTTCTGAGGATCACAGGGGGCCCAGCGTAATGATGGGCTGAGTCAGGATGGGGAGGGGCCATCCCTCCTGCACGAGACTCCCAGGTTTCCTGCAGGGCTGATAAACAGGAAGGTAGCTTGCAGGCTGCTGGTACCTCCACTCATCCTTGCCCAAATACGCTGACTCTCCCCAGAAACCAAGGGCTAATAACAGCAGCTGGCGTTAACAGCTTATGGTGCGCAGGGCCTGCAGCCCCATCTCAGACTAAGCATCAAAGTTCAACCTACGATGACATGGAAATGCTGTTACGGGTGGACATCTAACGTTCCAGCCACACTAAGACTGACCACACCTGAGTGTCAGCCTGACAGGCTCACGCTCCGCAGAACACCTCTGCAGGAAAACACACTGTGCCGCCACAGGCGCACGTGACAGAGCTGGAAGCCTCAGGCTGCCACCGAACGAGCAGTGCCAGCTTGTGTGTGGCACTCGGCCTGAAGCTCTGCTGTCAGGGTGCCTCAGCGTTTGCCCACTTCAACCTAAGCACATAATGATTCTGGGAATTCCCAGCTGCCTCCCTGCTGGGAGAATCCCACTCTGCCCCCAACCACATACGCTCCACCCTTTGAGTCTCCCAAGTTTTCTTCCTTGAAATCATGTCCTGTTAACCACAAACTCAACTTCTGGTTGATAAAGACTTCAGTGAGTGGTGGAGGGTCACGGCTTCATGGTGTCTAGCCATACCTACAACTGAAATACTGAACTACTTGGAATCTTTTGGGAAAAATCATCAAGACTTTTCATCATCGCTGGCACAGTCTTTCCACTTTATTGGCAGACAGGAACTATGTAAGAAGAGGTTAGGAAGTCCGCGGGCTTGGCACACGGCTCCTGTGGTCAACGCATGGAATTTGCCAGGACTTTGGCGTCTCATCAGGTTCAGCAAAATTCCGCATTTCACTGGTTATCTCCAATTACGGCTTCGAATAGCCATGACTGGAAATATGGCCTTTCTGAAAAGCAATATGAATAATGATCAACAACATTAACAGTGCCTGCACCCTTAGGTCTGACCAGAAACTTGTTTTATGAAAATTTGGGAGAAATCACTACTTACGTTAATGAAAATTAGAAACACTCTAAATATCTAGTTGTGAATCACTGTAAATTCAAATCTGGCAGATGCAGACAGCATCCCCTAGGTCTGTACCAGGCAGATACAGGATCTGGAGGGCAGATGCTCAGCTCAGGGGAAGGCGTCTAAACTACCTGCCAGTTTTCCTATTTTTATATCCCAAGACACTGAGGCCACAAATGCTGTGACCTGCCCAAGGCCAGGGAGGGACCTTCAGCAAAGCTAGGTCTGCCAAATCCCAGCCTTCCTCTGTTTCTATCTGAAACTGGCTGGGCAAATTTCTGGAAAGAGCAGATGTGACAGGCGGCAGTGGGGTCCCTAAGACCACCATCAGGCTTGGTGACTTGCTGGGGTTTGCTACAGGGAAAGGATGCAGACAGGCACAGGTAGGCCTGGGGAGCTCAGACAGTCTCTGGGGCACCCAGCCTTGGGCCCTGCAGTGCAGTACAAGAGGCACTTCAAACTCCCATGACGAGCTGGGATTACACACAAGGTGTCAGCCAGGGAAGCTCCCCTGAGTCTGGGGACCCAGGGTTTGTTTTGGGGGGCATCACAGAAGCTCCAGACATCCAGAGGGAGAGCAGGCATTTTCCGGAAGTCACACTGTGAGAAAGACGCACTGGCGGCACGCTGAGCCATCCGAGTGTGGCAGAAAGCAGGCCCTTCTTGGGAACGCGCAGGCTCTGGGCAGCCCTGCACAGCAAATGGGAGCTGAAGTCAATCCCAAAGCCCCCGTCACATCACTGGGGCAACAAACATCGCGCCCACTAAACGGGGCCTGTTGGGGGGCAGTGGCGAGGTGCATAGTCTGCAAGGAGCTGTCTGCTCATGTGGTTCTGACTTCTCATTTCTTAATATGGGATCCCCAAGAGAGCTGGAACTCTATTTTGATAAAAACTTCTTAAAAAGAATATATGAATTATTATTTTTAAAGTACAGATAAAAAATACCTTCTCAAAATACAATATGCCATTTTAAAGTAAACCTTCAGAAGCACAAAAAAAGGCTTGAGCAAAATTAATTTTCCACAATTCCAAAAAATAATGTGAAAGTAACAAGTACCTAAAATCAAGAGTTTGTGACATGTTACTTTAAAAAGAAGACAAGAGAACAGCCCTCTGTCTTCATTCCTATTAACTGTAGGCCTTCCTGAGAACAGGCATTTTTAGAAGCTTTCCTAATGGAAACAAGTCTAATAAAGGATGCACTGTAGGGGACTTACAAATATATTTTCAGGATGGTTTCAACTAGATTTTAACAGAGCACAGAGAGGCACAGATTTCACAAAGGTGAAAAACCATGCTATTTTGTGGTTTTAGTTTTCCCACCAGTAATAAACAGATTAAACTAATTTCCTAAAATAGCCTAACATTCTAGTTCCACTATGAAAACAGAAGCCCATTCCTGGGAGGAAAATAAGTCAAAATACTTTTAATGATATCAGCTACAGGAATTCAAGGGCAGGCGTAAAGAGGGTTTCAAGTGTCCACCCAGTGACTAATGCCTGCACACAACTCCAGGGGCAAGAGGCCCGCTCGGCCTTCCTTTACAAAAGGGACAGCCAGGCAGCCAGAGGCAGCTACAACTTGCACCCCACAGAGCAAAGAGAAAGGACAGCATCAGAGATACACAAACACTGTCACAGTGGTTCCGGGGCAGGAAGGGGCAGTGTGCAGACCTCTAGAGGAAAAGGGCAGGAGGCAGGCAGGACAGGGAGTGGAGAGAGGTGGCAGGAACCCATGGCAAAGGGTGGAGGCACTCAGTGGATGCCAACATGGGGACACCAGGGCTCAGAGTGCACGCCTCACTGAGGGGCACCTCAAAGCGGAACATGAGCAAGGCCCCGCAGTGCAGCAACACATGTAGATTCAAACCCTGACCCTGCCACCTGAGGGCTACCACAGGTGCCTCAGCAAGCACAGCACCCAGGCTACCACATGCTCTGTGGCTGTGAAAAGGACGGACATCTGTACTCTTTAACAACCTGCTTTACCAGACAACACTTAAAGACACATACAAAAATATTCACTGTATGGCAGAATAAGGTTGATTTTAGGTATGCTGGCCAGGAGAAGAAAAGTAAGAGGATAAGAAAAGGAGTCTAAGATTAGGTCAATAAAATTCTCCTCTTAAAATTCTAAGCTCCTGTCACTAGTGAGACAAACCTAAATTTTTTAGCAGCTAATTTGAAGAGGCAAATGTAGTTGGTTAAAAGGTTCAGGGTTTACAAAATACAAACAAGACAAGACTAGCCACCACCATCATTTGCCTAAGTACAAGAAGTGCCACATTCTCCAGAAGACTTGGCCACTGCCCTGGCAGCTGCCCCCAGAGGGCATGCTGGACGTGCCACTGCCTTGCACGGCAGTAACTGAGATGCCTGATCTGCAGGGCCAGTTCTTACAAACCCCCAGCAAACACTGACAGAACTTCGCAGGGCAATTCGAGAAAAGGGACTCCACACGGGCCACAGTGACCTGGTCTTGTTTATGTACATGTTAGTGGGTTAAACCAGGTATTGATTTCCAAGTATCTTTGGAAGGGTGCACTGAACATCCTTTACAATTCCTTTCCCGCCCGGAAGTTTCCTGGTAGATATTTGGTAGCAGCAGAGTGCAAGAGTATTTTCTGACCGAGTAAAGAGCCATACCCTTTAACAACCAGCTGAACTAGGGGCAGTCCTCTGACACCCTCAAGTGAAATACGGAAGCCCAGACCAAAGGTTAGGATAGAAGGCCCCCCCGCTCCACGCACCCTCAGGGCTCAACCGACAGTGCCAGCCTGAGGCAAGGGTGAGGGAGGTTTGTGAAGTGCCCAGCACATGTCCACAGCAACAGAGGCTCAGTAAGCAGGGCATCAGTCACTGTCACCAGCTAGGAGCAGCCCTCAGGCTATAGACGTCTCCTAGGCATCACTGCACCACTGATCTCGGCACTCAGCCCTTGCTTTGTGCCAGGCACCACACCAAGCTTTTTGCATACATTTCCTCAATTTACCCTCCTAGTAACTGTGGGGACACTGGACCCAGAAAGGCCATGTCCTTGACCAAAGTCACCTTCCTAGAACTGGTGGAGCCAGGACTTGCACCCAGGCAGGCTTGCCCCAGAGCCCTGACCCCTACAGGGCAAACTGTCATGCTGATGAGGTCAAGTATTTGACCTTCACCCCCAGTTGAGGTTTCACACAAGTGCCAAACCTGGGCAGCATTCCCAAAACTTGAAGCAGATGAACAGAAATGGGATGTAAAATGGATGGTGACACAAAAAGGACTCGGAAGGAACGCCTCTGAAGCATTACCTGAGAGGCAGTCCCGCTGCAGGGACCACACTGTAACATGCAACCACACTCAGCCTATGTGGTAAATTCATTCATTTCAGTCAACACTAGAAACTATGAAGCCAGGATTTGTAGACTGTAACCCTGTCTTCTCCTGAGTGTGACTAAAGCTCTGAACACAGATAAATGAGAAGGGACTAAAAATTATCTGAGAGGAAACAAGAAGGCATAATTGTCAAGGCAGAAGTAATGGAACTCCTTAATTTCCTAAAAACAATCTACATGAATACACATGAACTTATATGCCAGAACCTGTGTTTCCTGTATGTTAAGCTCTGCAAAACTGAAATCAGTGGTGTCTACTGCTGTATGAAATAAACATGTCAGTCAGTAAATACAAATCCTCAGCTTTGTCACATCATGAGGGGCAGGGCAAGGTGGGACATGGCTCTCCTGTGAGGGCCTCTGCACTGCCAGCACCTGTCCTCTCACCCCGCCCCAGTCCTCCCATACCACACTGCCTCTGCTGCTGAAGGTGAGCCTTTGGACATCTTCACACCAACCAACTCCTTCTCTAGCTTAGAAGCACACCACTGCAAAGGCCAGGAACAAACACAATCAGAGAAGGCAGTGTCTTTGGGGCTCAAAGGACAGCACAGCCAGGTGTTTGATGAAGAGAAGGTCGTGAATTGTACTTCCAGGGCACAATCATGCTGGGACTACCAGGAGAGTAACTCCATGGGCTGCCCCCACATCACCACATGGGAGCTGTCACCTCGTCTGCCCATCAGAGTGCCCCTGACCTCCACTCCCCCAATAAGATGACCTCCCCACAATCTGGCTGCAGCGCCTGTGATATCCCCATCACTTCCCCACCAGTGCCTCGAGGACCAGGTACTCCTCCCGAGAGGGGTCACAAAGGCACAGTTACCTTAGAACTCCACAATCTTCAGTGTAACTGAAAGATTCCTGCTGTACAAACTCGCTTCCTATCCCTCCTAGACCCCCCCAACTTCACTTCTCCTGAGCCATCCCTGTCATTGCTGGGCTGGCTCAAGGCGCGCGGGGCAGCTTGACGACAGTCAGGTCACCACCTGGCAAAATCAGAAGCACAAGACCCCTTTGTACTGGGAGAGCAGGTTGGAGAGTCACTTCCTGCGGCCGACGGCCTCACTCACCGTTGGAGAGCGCCTGCTGCAGCTCGCTGTCCGATATCACGCCGCTCCTGTCCTTGTCCACCCTACAAAACCAAGAGCAGCTAAGGTGGCGGCGACCAGAGGCGCAGGACGAGCCCGAGGCGGCACCGACGTGGACCCTGCGCAGTCGTGCGCCTCCGGAGGCGCTTCCCTCCCACCCCCCCCGAGAGCGCTGGCCCCGGACGGCTCTCCCCAAAGAGGCGGGGTCGTCTCTCCCTCGCGCTTGCCTCTCTCCCCGTTCCCTCCGCAGGTTAATTCCACCTAGCTGTTTCTCTCTTTTTCACAAACAGGAAAACATCTCCTCAGGCAATTATGTCTCCTCCAATCATGACTCACTCAAGTTTCGTTCATTCCTTCACTGGGAGGGTGACCAGGGACAGGAGGGGCTGCAGTAAGTCACCTGCCCTGAGCAGCCGCCTCTTCTGGGCTGCAGGCCTTCAGCGCAGGAGAGCATGCTCCTGGTTACCTAAAGCAAGCATCCCCAGGGGAGCATCAATGCCCCTCCGCTGTGCTGCTGAGGGAGAAGGATGGCGCGAGGGAAGAGCCTGGGCAGAGGCCGGCAGGGAGGCCGCTGTGGAGGCGCAGGAGGCCAGGAGGGGCACGAGGTGGCCGGGCAAAGGCCGAGGTGGCCGGGGCAGGAGAGAGGCCAGGAGGAGGCATAGGCGCAGGGGGCCACGGGGGCCGAGGCAGGACAAGGTGGGCAGGAAAGGAACGGAGGGCAGGAGGAGGCCGAGGGCCCTGGGCAGGGAGCCAGGAGAGCGGGCAGTGCCCGCCTCACCGTTGGAAGACGTTCCACAGGAAGCTCTGGTCCGGCAGCGCGGCGCCCGCGGAAGAGCCGGGGCCGGGGCCGGGGCTCGGGCGGTAGGAGTAGGCGGCCATGGGCCGAGCGCTGCGAGACTGAGGGGCCGCCGGCTACACCACAGGCTCGGGCGGATCCACTTCCGCTTCTGCGGGAGCGGAACCGGGCGGTGACGCCACTTCCTGGAATACAGGAAGTGCGTGTCTCCTGAGGTCACGGGGTTGGGCATGGCCAGTCACCTTGCGGCCCCGTTGCCAGGCGACGCCCCGGCGGCACAGGACGGGGCGGGGCGTAGGCTCAGAGAGTGCGGGTCGCCCCCGAAACCCCCAAGTCCACCGCAGCTGCATCCCGCAGCCGCCGGAGCGGGGGCGTGCTTATTCTTGGGTCTGGCAGTCACTGGACGGGTGTGAGGAAGGGCAGGAGGCGGCCTCCGTGCCTCTCACCCGGCCACCCACGCCCCGTTTTCCCTGTAATGACACCTGCACAGACACCTGTCCTTTTTCGGTCACTCTCCCTTTTACAGTGTCTAGTCTAGAATTCTAAAGCCAACTGCGCCCAGCTCACCCCTTTCTTTCTTCCCAACCAGTGTCATGTCAAAATTCAAAAGGAAAGAGAAGGATTTGCCTCTTCATACTTGGGCTTCTCCGAGTGGCAGTGTGTCAAATACATGCTGTTCAGTGTATGACACTAGCAAACACGCACATTAGCAATGGCGGACAGACCTTTCTGCTACAATGGAATTGTTCTGTATCTGCTGTCCAATGTCGTAGCCACTTGCTTTGTGCACCTACTGAGAACCTTAAGTGCTTCAAGGTGACTGGGGAACACAATGTTAACTTTTATGTAATTTTAATGAATTAGCTGTAAACACCCATGTGGTTATTACTATGGATGGTGCAAGTCTGAGTATCCTTCCTTTATGCTTCTTTTGATCCATATTAGAAATTATACACATCTTCTCACTGGGCAGTGTTCTTTTTTTTAATTAATTTTTTATTTTGCAATCATTAATGTACAATTACATGAACAACATTATAGTTACTAGACTCCCCTTATTACCAAATCCCCACCACATGCCGCACTACAGTCACAGTCCATCAGCGTAGTAATATGCTATAGAATCACTACTTGTCTTTTGTGTTGTACTGCCTTCCATGTGCCCCCTACCCCCTACATTATGTGTGCGAATTGTAATGCCCCGTTTTCCCCCTTCTCCCTCCCTTCCCACCCATCCTCCCCAGTCCCTTTCCCTTTGGTAACTGTTAGTCCGTACTTGGGTTCTGTGAGTCTGCTGTTGTTTTGTTCCTTCAGTTTTTTCTGTTATTATACTCCACAGATGAGTGAAATCATTTGATACTTGTCTTTCTCCATCTGGCTTATTTCACTGAGCATAATACCCTCTAGCTGCATCGATGTTGTTGCAAATGGTAGAATTTGTTTTCTTCTTATGGCTGAATAGTATTTCATTGTGTATATATACCACCTCTTCTTTATCCATTCTTATACTGATGGACACTTAGGTTGTTTCCATTTCTTGGCTATTGTAAATAATGCTGCAATGACCATGGGGGTGCATATGTCTATTTCAAACTGGGCTGCTGCATTCTTAGGGTAAATTCCTAGGAGGGGAATTCCTGGGTCAAATGGTATTTCTATTTTGAGTTTTTTGAGGAACCTCCATACAGCTTTCCACAATGGTTGAACAATTTTACATTCCCACCAGCAGTGTAGGAGGGTTTCCCTTTCTCCACATCCTCAGCAGCATTTGTTGTTGTCTGTCTTTTGGATGTTGGCCATCCTAACTGGTGTGAGGTGATATCTCATTGTGGTTTTAATTTTCATTTCTCTGATGATTAGGGATGTGGAGCATCTTTTCATGTGTCTGTTGACCACCTGAATTTCTTCTTTGGAGGAGTGTCTGTTCAGATCCTGTGCCCATTTTTTAATTGGATTACTTGCTTTTTGTTTGTTGAGGTACGTGAGCTCTTTATATACCCTTATCGGATATGTCATTTATGAATATATTCTCCCATACTGTAGGATGCCTTTTTGTTCTACTGGTGGTGTCCTTTGCTTTACAGAAGCTTTTTAGCTTGATATAGTCCCAACTTGTTCATTTTTGCTTTTGTTTCCCTTACCGGGGGAGATATGTTCATGAAGAAGTTGCTCATGTTTATGTCCAGGAGATTTTTGCCTGTATTTTTTTCTAAGAGTTTTATGGTTTCATGACTTACATTCAGGTCTTTGATCCATTTCGAGTTTACTTTTGTGTATGGGGTTAGACAATAATCCAGTTTCATTCTCTTACATGTAGCTGTCCAGTTTTGCCAACACCAGCTGTTGAAGAGGCTGTCATTTCCTCACTGTATGTCCATGGCTCCTTTATCGTATATTAATTGACCATACATGCTTGGGTTTATATCTGGGTTCTCTAGTCTGTTCCATTGGTCTATACTTCTGTTCTTGTGCCACTACCAAACTGTCTTGATTACTGTGGCTGTGTAGCAGAGCTTGAAGTCAGGAAGCATAATCCACCCCTAGCTTCATTCTTTCTTCTCAGGATTGCTTTGGCTATTCGGGGTCTTTTGTGGTTCCATATGAATTTTAGAACTATTTGCTCTAGTTCATTGAAGAATGCTGTTGGTATTTTGATAGGGATTGCATTGAATCTGTAGATTGTTTTAGGCAGGATGGCCATTTTGACAATATTAATTCTTCCTATCCATGACCATGGAATGTGTTTCCATTTATTGGTATCTTCTTTAATTTCTCTCATGAGTGTCTTGTAGTTTTCAGACTATAGGTCTTTCACTTCCTTGGTTAGGTTTATTCCTAGGTATTTTATTCTTTTTGATGCAATTGTGAATGAAATTGTTTTCCTGATTTCTCTTTCTGCTAGTTCATTGATAAGTGTATAGGAATGCAACAGATTTCTGTGTATTAATTTTGTATCCTGCAACTTTGCTGAATTCAGATATTAGTCCTAGTAATTTTGTAGTGGAGTCTTTAGGGTTTTTTATGTACAATATCATGTCATCTGCAAGCAGGGACAGTTTAACTTCTTCCTTACCAATCTGGATGCCTTTTATTTCTTTGTGTTGTCTGATTGCCATGGCTAGGACCTCCAGAACTGTGTTGAATAAAAGTGGGGAGAGTGGGCATCCTTGTCTTGTTCCCAATCTTAAAGGAAAAGCTTTCAAGTTCTTGCTGTTAAGTATAATGTTGGCTGTGGGTTTGTCACATATGGCCTTTATTATGTTGAGGTACTTGCCCTCTATACCCATTTTTAGTTTTTATCATGAATGGATGTTGAATTTTATTGGTTTTTCAGCATCTATGGAGATGATCATGTGGTTTTTGTCCTTTTTGTGAATGTGGTGGATGATGTTGATGGATTTTTGAATGTTGTACCATCCTTGCATCCCTGGGATGAATCCCACTTGATCATGATGGATGATCTTCTTGATGTATTTTTGAATCTGGTTTGCTAATATTTTGTTGAGTATTTTTGCATCTATGTTCATCAGGGATATTGGTCTGTAATTTTCTGTGGTGTCATTGCCTAGAGTGGTACTAGAGTGATGTTGGCCTTGTAGAATGAGTTTGGGAATATTCCCTCCTCTTCTACTTTTTGGAAAACTTTAAGGAGGATGGGTATTAGGTCTTCACTAAAAGTTTGATAAAATTCAGCAGTGAAACCATCTGGTCCAGGTGTTTTGTTCTTAGGTAGTTTTTTGATTACCAGTTCAATTTCGTTGCTGGTAATTGGTCTGTTCAGATTTTCTGTTTCTTAGGTAGTTTTTTGATTACCAGTTCAATTTCGTTGCTGGTAATTGGTCTGTTCAGATTTTCTGTTTCTTCCTGGGTCAGCCTTGGAAGGTTGTATTTTTCTAGAAAGTTGTCCATTTCTTCTTGGTTATCCAGTTTTTTACTGTATAATTTTTCATAGTATTCTCTTAATTCTTTGTATTTCTGTGGTGTCTGTTGTTATTTTTCCTTTCTCATTTCTCATTCTGTTTATGTGTGTAGACTTTTTTCCTGATAAGTCAGGCTAGGGGTTTATCTATTTTGTTTATTTTCTCAAAGAACCAGTTTTTGCTTTCATTCATTCTATTGTTTTATTCTTCTAGATTTTATTTATTTCTGCTCTAATCTTTATTATGTCCCTCCTTCTACTGACTTTGGGCCTCATTTATTCTTCTTTTTCTACTTTCATTAATTGTGAGTTTAGACTGTTCATTTGGGATTGTTCTTCTTTCCTGAGGTAGGCCTGTATTGCAATATACTTCCCTCCTAGCATGGCCTTCGCTGTGTCCCACAGATTTTGCAGTGTTGAATTATTGTTGTCATTTGTCTCCATATATTGCTTGATCTCTGTTTTTATTTGGTTATGGATACATTGATTATTTAGGAGTGTGTTATTAAGCCTCCATGTGTTTGTGGGCTTTTTCATTTTCTTTGTGTAATTTATTTCTAGTTTCATACCTTTGTGATCTGAGAAGTTGGTTGGTAAAATTTCAGTCTTTTTGAATTTACTGAGGTTCTTTTTGTGGCCTAGTATATGGTCTATTCTTGAAAATATTCATGTGCACTTGAGGAGAATGTGTATTCTGTTGCTTTTAGATGGGGTGTTCTGTAGATGTCTGTTAGGTCCATCTGTTCTAATACGTTGTTCAGTGCCTCTGTCTCTACTTATTTTCTGTCTGGTTGGTATGTCCTTTGAAGTGAGTGGTGTGTTGAAGTCCCCTAGAATGAATGCATTGCATTCTATTTCCCCTTTTAAATCTGTTAGTATTTGTTTCACATATGTAGGTGATCCTGTGTTGGGTGCATAGGTATTTATAATAGTTATATCTTCTTGTTGGACTGACCCCTTTATCATTATGTAATGTCCTTCTTTGTCTCGTTACTTTGTTTTGAAGTCTAATTTCCCTGATCCAAATACTGCAACTCCTGCTTTTTTCCCCCCTATTAGTTGCATGAAAAATCTTTTTCCATCCCTTTACTTTCAGTCTGTGTATGTCATTGAATTTGAAGTGAGTCTTTTGTAGGCAGCATGTAGATGGGGTTTGCTTTTTCTATTCATTCAGTGACTCTATTCTTTTGATTGCTGCATTCAGACCATTTACATTTAGGGTGATTATCGACAGCTTTGTATTTACTGCCAT